CATGTGCAGAATGGAGCATTTCCCTCGTATATTAGTCTCAAATCGCTTACTGCCAATGCTGATGATTATCACTGGAGAAAAAAGGAATACTTTCGCATTCTTTCACGAACAGTTAAACATATCAAATTCAATTTACATGCAGTTTTCGTCATACCTCAGAAGAAAGGAGGATGTTTATTATTACTGCACTAATGGAACGATATCGATATTAACTCTGTAGCACTTAATAACTGGTTGATCTAATGGGACCTGAATGTTCGAAAACATGAAATGTTGTGTGATCATTTCCCAGGGAATTTCTCTCAGAATATGAATCGCCATGACAGTGATGGTCAGGATGATCATGACGGACCTTATGCAGGCGGTCCGAACAAAAAATATCGAAAACACACTGCTGCTGTTGACGCGGATTGAAGGCAAACCCCTTGAAGCCTTTCGACTTATTGAAGGTGTTTCGTTTCGCAGCACCGCCCAGTGGCTACCCCTGTGCTCGACGAATTTGAGATTATAATCTACGCTATTCACTAGTGACGCAGACATTCGGATTAAATGTGACGTGAAATTCGATTTACATGTTTCTGTGAACCGAAAGTCTCTGAACGTGAATCATTCTTACCGTAATCCGTCGCAACATCTTGAATTCGATGTGGGTCAGACTGACGGCAATATCTTCCGGCGTCCACTGATCGAAGGACAACGAAATATTTCGATTCATAGTCCGCCTTTTGGACACGTTGTGCATCCAAGCGCACGAAGGCCTGAAATGTGGAAAACTGCAGCCAACAGGCAATTTGAACTTAGTAAAAATTAAGAATGGAATGCATTAGTCAAAGTTTGCATATAAGCTTTCGTTGGACAAACAAATTAACAATATGCCAGTATGCGTTCAAATTCATAAATCAGCCGAAGCACAAAAACACGTCTATGTAGTGTTGCTGCAGCAGTTTTGGCGAACACTGTTTATGCGCAGAGTCCTGGGTGCTATCAGGGTGCTCTGGTCACCTCTCTGACTCTTTTTGACTGGACGGTGATCATCTGTATCAACCATTTGATATATTCCATCATGTTACATATATATGTATATGTATATATCAATATGTCAATGAAACGTTAACTGTGATTGAATTAATAGGTAGTTGTCTAACCTGTGAATTCATGACTGCAGTTCCGTTATGAAGACTTTATGTAGTTATGAAGCGAAAGTGCAGTCCTGCGTCCTCAAGTTTGGTTCTGCATCAAATACATAACTTCAATCCTCAATCGTAATCTATCGATGGAAGCTCTCTTTAAATACAATGCGATGCTGTTATCTAGAGCGAGGTTTATAATTTAGTTTTGCAACTCGAGGTCACTAGGTTAGCGGTCAGTAGTTTAGTCGGAAGTGCGAATTTATACAATTGGCAAATGCTTATCTTCATCAATTACTTGATTTGAGTCTTCACATTTTACACCAGTTGAGAGCTGTCTGCAGAACTTACGTCACAGGTATTAATTTCAAATTTTGCGCTTTTGTTTGACGGTCCGTGAGGATCACATCAATTCTATTCGTATGGCTGCTTGAAATATTGCTCTGCCATATTTCAGTGAATATATTCAACCGCTGCTCATTAAAAGCTGGTCCTAACCTTGTTTGTCTGTGTTACAAAATCTTCTTTTTCATACACTGACTAAATTTAAAGTCGAAATCTAGAAGCCATTGCAATCCTGGACAAGGATAAGATTTTGTGGAGTTGTGGCCCAGTGCCTACGTGGTCTACTTGGAACTTCAGATGTTCAGGATTCAAATCAGCTCAAGGCCAACATTTGTCTCAATCGCCAATTCACTTCAGCAACGAATTAACTGCTCGTTGCTTCGGCGTAACCAGCCGAAAAACTGATTGCAAGTCCGGCTACTTCTAATAATGGAAACAGCATTGAATTTTCATCTCTTCATGCCAGAATGGGCGACATGTTTGTCCATGTTCTCCGAGGCGAGCGCCACTTAGTGCTGCATTTCGCACTGATCAATCTTCTGGCTGCCTCTCCAATCAGCCGTCAGCGTACAATGTAGCGCAACTTTCGATTTCGATCAAGTTAAGCAAATAAATAATTTTTTATATAAAATATATAAACTTTCTTTGCCATACAAATATAAACAATATATTACATCATTGCGTCATTTCATACTTATGCTTTAAACCACGCCTTTTAGTAATAATATGTCCTTAATGATGGTTATTCGTAATAGATATTGTTCTTTCGTTTGCGTAAGGCTATTTGCTCAACTTTACCGGAGGCCGATGACCGCAGGCAATGTTTCGTAATATATAACGGCGGCACCACATCGGCCAGATGGCTTCACGCGATCGCACAAAATTGAAATTAAAAATTTTTTGCATTTCGATTAATTGATTGGTCTAACTCCGCCATGGCCGGTCCCAAGCCCGGATGAGAAAGGAGGAGGGTTGGAGACCGTGGCAAGTCT